GATGTGGGGCCCGAGGGGGTAGGTTCATATCTGGGGGGGGTGGTCGCAACCCCTCCAAGTTGGGCGGATGGGGCTGCTGGATAGTGTGGCTCAGGGCTCGTTTTTGGTGGGGTGGGATATCTGGAGGTGGTGGAGGAGGCATAGGAGGGTTTCTTTGGAGTAGAGCATTAATTAGGGCTTGGTTTTGCTCGGCTAGGCGATTAATGCTGTTAGTGAGCTCGATGAAATACTGTGGTGGGTTGTTTAGATTAGGAGGGTCGGCTTGGTGGTCGGCAACATTGTGGTGAGAAGCCATGGATCTAGTCGTGACCATACACCTTGATGGGTGGCAGGAAAGGGTTATTGGGATAGAATCTCCGACGACAATGAGCACAACTGGTGCAGAGCAAAGCGATTCCCACAAATGGCGCCAATTGATGATACTGCGAGTTCTAGATGGAACGGGTCGGACTGATCTACGCTTCCCAAACCAGTGTCCGGGTGACCAAGCCCACAGAGGAACCTGCACAAGAGTTAAACGGGGAATGTGGAGTCCCCCAACGAACCCTCCGACGAGCAAGTTAGAAAGAGAGATGGAGTGTAGAGATGGATTAGAGATAGAAAGCTTAACCTTCTTCTTGTCTTCGATGTCTGCTTATATCCTTTGGTAATCATTTCGTTGTCCCTTCCGACCTGCTATCTTGGCCGAAAGTCTATGCTCCAGCTTGCCTTGTTCATGGTGAGGCCGTTCTGTCTCGACGGGGAGGGCCTATCGCAATAAATGCTGTAAGGGGCTTAATTAATGGCTGATGTGCAGTGTAATAATTTTGCAAGATCTTTGTCTGCTTATGTGGCTTGTCCTCCACATGTCTAAGTGTCATTGGTTCTTAATGCCATGTTGAGTTCCAGCCATGTTGGGCCTCAGTAGTTGAATTATGTGTTGGGCCCTAAGTGATGGGCTTGGGTTGTTTATAGTGGGCTGTAGCCTTTATGGGCTTACCCATGTCAGAATGTAATAACAAATACATTAATCATTTCTAAACGCAATCAAAAGAGAACATAATCATCTGATCTAAAAAAATATGCTTCCCCGAAACTTGTATCAGCCTCAACTTCATGCTTGTTCAAAAATAATAAGGCCTATTCCAAAAACAAAAACAATAAAAAGTCTCGGTGCTCATCAAGATGGAGGCTAAGAGAGAGCGAACAAAGTAAAATGAAAAGGAGGTTGAACAAATGCATTGACAAGTAAAACTACAACAAAATGAATTCATTATATCTTCTTCAAGCAAAATTGCTTTAGGTTCATCAAAATTTCTTAGCAACTTCACATGTTGTAGGATCAATTGATGAAGTACACACATAATTCAAGTTTCACTGTGTTTATCATGAAAAAGGAGGCCAAAATACACAAATAATTCAAGTTTCACTATGTTTATCATGAAAAAGGAGGCCAAAATACCAGAGACGAAAAAGATACCACCACTTATAGGCCAGTAGCATTTAATGTAGCCATTAACTTTCATCTGGATAATTTCCCAAATATGATAGAGTTATATTGTTTTCAACTAGCCTTAACTTTCACAAGCCTTTTAACTCCACGACAAAACTTCAAAGATCCAGTACCCTTGTCAATGATCCAAAGAAGAATTCAGGCTTATCAATATATTAGGGCATTTTTGTTATTAGAAATGAATATTTTGGAGAATAACAATTTCTACATAAAAGCATCATGTGTTTATTTCCACACATTAGGTGGGAAATGTGTTCGCCGTCTATTTTGTCATACTGCTCAATTTCAAAAACAAGAGCAATGCCCCACAATACATGAATATTAACAAATTACGAAAATGTCACACTCATTAAATTATTGTGAAATTCAAAATGGAATGTAATAACAAAGACATTAATCAATACTAAATGCAATGAACAGAGAACATACTCATATTATCCAGAAAGATATGTATCCTTGAAACTTGCATTAGTCTCATCATAATGCTCGTTCATGTAATCACACCTATCCACACAATAAATAATAATAATAATAATAATATAAAAGAATAAGTCTCAGTTCTGAACAAGATAGAGAGGCTAAGAGACAGTGAACAAAGTATAATGAAAAGGAGGTCGAATGTTTGCATTGACAAGTAAAAGTACAACAAAATGAATTCCATACATCTTCCTCAAGCAAAACTACTTTAGGTTTATCAAAATTTCTAAGCAACTTCACATGTTGTAGGCTCGATTGATAAAGTACTCAAACCTAATGAAAAACAAGATTCAAAATCTCAAACCTAATGAAAAACAAGATTCAAATAATTCAATTTCACAGTGTTTATCCTGAAAACAAGGTCAAAATACTAGACATAAATGATAGCAACACTTGCAGGCTAAAAGGACTTAACGTACCTATTAACTTTTATCTAGATGATTTCATGAATAAGATTAGAGTTAAATTCCTTTCAATGATCCTTAACTTTCACATGCCTGCTAACTCCACAACAAAACTTCAAAGATCTAGTATCCTTGTTAATGTTCAAAGAATGCATGCTTATCATTATATATTTTTGTCATTAAAAGGAATATTTTTGTGATGACCGGGTACATAACCCGTCTTGTTTTCTTCTTTTGTGTTTGGTCTACTCGTGTTTGGAGTGCCGAAGATTAATTTGAGGTCCTGTCGACCGTTGGGTTCACCGTTCTTGAAACTTTCTTCAGATCCTTGTCTTTATTTTATTCCAGTGTTGAGTTTCGCTTGTTTCGGGAGGCGTGAGGTTGGATCCGGGGTGTCTCAGGTTCAACTATGAAACTTCTAGCTGGGAGACAGGACCGCACGTGTGGCAGCTTGGGCCGCACGTGCGGAAGAAGAGCCGCACGTGCGGGGGTGAGGCCGCACGTGCGATGAGCAGGGTTTGTCGAATGTGCAAGACTGTTTTAATTGCACGAGTGGAGTACAGGTGCGGAGGAGTGAGCCGCACGTGCGAGGGTCAGCGCCGCACATGTGAAAGGACGTGCCGCACGTGCAGAAATGCGCTGAGTCCGAAAATCTGCTCTTTTTCTTCTCCTTGGGCTAAGTGTATCTCACTTTTTACATATCTCTCTCTCTAAAAATATCTTTTCCTCTCCCTTCTCTCTAAAAACCTCCACCCACCACCATAAACTCTTGATTTCTTCCAATCCATTGGAATTTTGACCCAACATCCTTCATTAATTTTAGAGAGCTGATCGAGAGCTTCATTTTGTGCTTTGGAGATCAATCTTCAATGCCGTCAAATTTGAAGGTTTCTCATCTTTTCTTCTCCAAAACTTGAGGTAGGGATTTTCTTAGAATTATATATATATTTTTGTAAGATTATGTTGATTTTGGAACTCCTTCTTGTGGTATTGAAATTCAATTTTGGCTCAAGAGTGTTTGATGAATTTAAAAGTAGGTTCACTCCTTGTTTTCTAAAAACTCTTGCGGGTTTTGAACTATATTGTTAGGGAGGGATGTTGTTTTGGAAAAATTCTTTCAAAAATGGGGAAAATGTCTAGTTTTTGGTGAAAACCTAGAAATTTGGAACTTTTGGAGAGATGTTGAGATTTCATGAGTTTCTTGCTTGTCAAAGTGAATGAATGATTGAGAATTTCATACTGTTGTATGTAAATGAGAAGTTCCATGGAATATGAGAAATGGTCGGTTTTGGAAGCTTATAGTTTAAGAATGTTGATATAGTCTTGAAATGACAAAGTTGAAGACAATGCATTAAATGTGGATATGCTGTTACTTCTCAATTGATATATATGTGTATATATATATTTTATGAAATTACATTGAGAAGAGAAATGGAAATTTTGATCACAATGGAAAATTGTGTGGAGGAAATGAAAATAGAAACAATTTTGTAATGCATTGATACATGTTACATTGGCATTCCATTTCATTTGATTATTATGAATTTCAAATTGAGATTTGAAAACTATTGCATTGAGAAAGAAATTGTTTACGAGATAAATCATAATGAATTGTTGTTGGGGTAAATACATTTGGTAAGTACGGATAGGGGGTGTAAATTGGTATTGTTTAAGTTGGTCTGAGTGTCCAGAGTGGAAGATTGAAAACACACGCAGAGGAGGTACCACGTGCCTTCCGGTTAGCTACCGGTAAAGTAGGGATTTGGTAGTGTTAGTTATGCCTACTTGTAGACACTAACCTAAGGATTACCTGAGTTGTATTTACCGCCCCTTAAACTTTATTGAAAATTAATGAATGGTTGAAATTTTAAGGTTTCATTGTGCATAAAGGTTTTCAAAAGATAAAGATGCGTTTTTGAACATGACATGGCATATGCATTTCACTTCATGAGAATCGTATAAAATGTATATACTTTGATAAGGATTTCCTACTAGGCTTTATGTTCACCCTATGAGATTTTGCACAGGAAAAGATGTGGTGATTCCGCCAAATTAAAGGTGTGGGATATGTGTTGAGAGCATAAGGCTCTTGTTTTTGTTGTACTAATTTTTTGTAAGCCAAGGGCTAGATGTGTGTGGGTTCAAGCAACCACTTTTGTGTAACCGGACTTAAGCCTTAGACTTTGTAGGCCTTTGAGGGCATTTATTTGCACTGAACCATTATACCACATGCTATAGATTCATGTATTAAGGTTGTTGAATGTATACCCACATGTGGGGCCTCCTTCTGTAAATCTCTTAGTGATTATGAATGCTAATGTTGGAAAGTTGGGGATGACGTTAATATTGGGATTTACTTGTGTGAATATTTGGGGCGTGACAATTTTGGAGGAAAACAATTTCTACATAAAAGCATCATGTGTGTATTTCCAAAAATTAAGCAAGAAACGTGTTTCGGGTCTATTTTATTACACTGCTCAATTTCATAAACAAAAGCAATGCCACAATAGTGAAATATTAACAAATTACGAAAATGTTGCATACTCGAACCAATATTTTGAAATTCGAAATGAAATATAATAACAAATACATTAATCATTACTAAACGCAATCAATAGAGAACATACTCATCTGATCCAGCAAGATATGCATCCATGAAACTTGCATTAGCCTCAACATTGTGATTGTTCAAATAATCACCCCTATCCAAAAAAAAAAGTCTCAATGCTCTTGAAGATGGATGCAAAGAGAAAGAGAACAAAGTAAAATAAAAAGGAGATTGAATGTTTGCATTGACAAGTAAAACTAAAACAAATTAATTCCATGCATCTTCAAGCAAAACTATTTTGGGTTCATCAAAATTTCTGGGGTAAATTTCACTTTAACCCCTTATGGTTTGACCCATGTGCGGAGAACCCCCATGTCATTTGGAAATAACCACAAAACCCTCATGTGGTTTGTGAGCCAAAACGCACAACCATTTGGCAACCCACAACAATTTTAGCCTAAAAGTCAAAAAGTCACTAAAAAGCCAAAAGGCCAACAAACTATACAAAAAAGTCAAAGATTCTCTTTTCTCTTTACTTTTTTGTACTTTTTTATTCTTAAAAAATCAAAAAGTCATCCCAAACATACTAGTTTTTTTTTATCTCACATTTTAGCCAAAAAATCATAAAGTTACTAAAATAGAACAAGAGGTAACCGAACATAGAGATTGACTTTATAGCCTCATCTTCTTCCTCTCTTCTATTCTCAATTAAACCTATATATATATATATATATATTCTTTCTTCCATCCATGGCTGCCAACTAAAACAAATTCCCTTCTAAATTTTGCAAGCAACCTAAGTGGCACACACACGACTCCACATCAAAACAATCAATCACCCATTCTCACCATTAATTAAGAGTAAAATATTTTTGTACCGATTTTCATTTGTTCAAACAGACTACTTCAACACACTGCTTCCACTTACCTAAACACACTACCTCCAAAAACATTCTCTTTATCTATTAAATATATATTTTTATGTACATAGAGAGAGAGAGAGAGAGAGAGAGAGAGTTTGGGATCAAAGAAGTGTTACATTTGAACAATTAATATTAAAGCAAACATTGCATAAATACTATCGTTGATGATGCTGCTGTGTGTGATGATGGTGCTTAATATGCTCAATTACTCTTATCAAATATATGGTGTGAGTTGGTCAATCTATGTTGTTGGTTGGACATTAAAAATTCATGAATCCCGACTTGATTTGGAGGGCGGTGGCTGCGAGACTGATCGGAAAGGTTAACTAGGTTGTTGTGGGAGGCGGGAGGGGGTTCAAGGATGGCGTGCTAGGGGAGGGGCTGCAAAGGTGCGATGGATGTGGGTGGTGGTTTGAGGGGAGGAGAGAGAGGGGTCATGGGGAAGCTGCAGTAGTACACAACAATGGAGGTTGATTAGGGGGAATCAAAAAATGAAAAGAAGAAGAAGGGAGGGAGGAGGTACTAATGGTTGGGGAAGAAAGTTATAGAGAGAGAAACAATAAAAAATATAAAAAGAAAAAATGGCATTTTTTTGTAAATTTGAAGATGTAGAAAGGATATTTTCATATGAAAATTTTACTCTCTCTCTACAGAAGCGTGGCTCTCACAACTTGTCAACTTAGAAGGAAAAGTTAACGGTGCATTTTAGTCTACAAACCACATGGGATTATGTGGTCATTTCCAAATGACAAGGGGGGAAATCCGCACATGGGCTAAACCATAAGAGAGTAAAGTGAAATTTGCCCAAATTTCTAAGCAGCCTCACATGTTTTAGATTCCATTGATAAAGTACTCAAAAACCTTATGGAAAACAAGATTTAAATAATTTTCACTGTGTTTATCCTGAAAAAAGAGGCCAATATTCTAGAGACAAAAAAGATACTAATAGAGTTATATTCCTTTTAACTATTCTTAACTTTCACATGCCAGCTAACTTTCACAACAAAACTTCAACAATACAGCACCCTTGTCGATGATTTAAAGAGTAACTTATCATTATATGTCGGCCATTTTGTTATTTAGAAAGAAATGTTTTCGAGGGAAACAATTTCTACACAAGCATCATGGTGGATTTCCAAACATTAGGGACGAAATGTGTTCCTTGTCTATTTTGTCATACAACTCAATTTTAAAAACAAGAGCATTGACACAATAAAAGAATTATAACAAGTTACAAAAACATTGCACGATTATAACAATATTTTGAAAATTCGAAATGGAATGTAATAACAAATACAATGACCATTACCTATGAAGCATGGACACGGCAAAATCAGCGCCGTGGCAGTGTCGGACACGAGGGCCAACCTAGGACATGGGGACACACCAGGGACACGTACGGGACACACCATCTGCCATGTCCCTTTAATTTAATTATTTTTTTTGTAGGGGACATGCGTGTCCAGATCTGGACACGGCATGAGACACGACGAGAAGTGAGAGACAAAGGAGAGAGTGCGCAGGAAGAGAGTGAAGAGACAAACCTGTCGCACGATCGAAGACATCCAGTTGATCGATCGAACATCCAATCGCCTCATTGACATCTAGTCGTCGACGATTTGTATCCCTTCGACTTCGCGACTTCCACCATAAGCATCTCTCTCTCTCTCTCTCTCTCTCTCTCTCTCTCACGTCTCTATCTCTCTCGCCAACTCTGTCCCTCTCGCCTTCTTTCTTATCATATATATATATATATATATTAGTATATACTGTATAAGATACTATTAATAAGACAATATTATTTTTTAAGTATGTATAACACATTATATACTATTTATACATATTAATAAAAAAACACATGTATATAAAATAAAATAAAAAATTATCAGAAACACATTATTTAGAAAAATATAATAATAAATAAAATAATTGACGTATATTAAAATAAAAATATTTATAAAAAAAAATTTGCCGTGTCCGTGTCCGTGTCCCCATTTTTAAAAAATTGCCGTGTCCAGTGTCTGTGTCCGTATCCATACTTCATAGACCATTACTGAATGCAATCAAGAGAGAACATACCTGTCTGATCCAAAAAGACATGCATCCATTAAACTTTTATCAGCCTCAACATCATGCTTGTTCAAATAATCACACCTAGATAGAGGGTAAGAGAGAGCCAAAAGAGTTAGATGAAAAGGAGGTCTAATGTTTGCTCTAACAAGTAAAACTATAACAATATGAATTCCATATACTACTTTTGGTTTATCAAAATTTCTACGCAGCTCAAAATGTTGTAGGCTCGATTGACAAAACGCTCAAACCTGACGGAAAACTATATTCAAATTATTGAAATTTCACTATGTTTATTATCCTGAAAAAGGAGGCCAAAAATACTATAGACAAAAAAAAATAACAACACTAATGGCCAAAAGCACTTACCGTAGCTATTAACTTTTATTTGGATATTTTCCTAAATATCAAAGTTATATTCCATTTAACTTTCCTTAAATTTCACATGCTTGCTAACTACACAACAAAATCTTGCAACCATATAAAGTTGAAACTTCATAGAAAGGAGCTTCTGCTACTTAACAAAGAGTGTTCTTCTAAGAAATGATATCATTAAATCACAACTTAATAAAATAGATAAACAACAGACCACCAACAAAGTGATAAAGTTCTCTAGCTGCCCACATGAACGCAATTTGGCATGGACTAAACCAGATAACGAAGAGGGGTGTAGCACATAATTTCTTCCATTGCCCATCCTACCCATGCTACTTTGGGCATCAAGTTCAAAATTCATAGACTAGATGATGAAGACTATAACACAACAGGCAGGGCAGGAAGGTAAACAAATATTGCATAAATTGCCCAAGTCAAAGTCATATTAACATTGAGGGACAAGCGGGCAGTTACATGCCATTTGATTCCATATGTATCAATACATAACACAAGTGTACTGAACACAAAGGCAACATAAAAAATAAAAATAAAAAAAGGAAAGCAAATGAAACATATAAATTAGTCGAAGGAATCCAAAAAAAAATATTTGCCTAACGTACATGACAAAAGCAGAATTAATCCATCTAGCAGGATTATCAAATTTCTCAAAATCATAATGTTGCAGGGTCTCAAGATATGCATAGAGGAACCGATCACCAGCATCATTACATGAGATGGAAACCTGAAAGTTAGCTACACGTGCACACCACCTATTATAGTAATCGAAACCGGCATACAATAAACACATTCTACAGCCACCATCACCATCACCATCACCCAAATGGGTAAGAAAGCCCTGGAATTCGCATCAAGCAAATGGAGGATTGAACACAGGCCAAAGCTCATCTAGCACCTGATAAGGATAAGGCTTGGCAATCGCATCCGCATCCGAATCCAACCGGTAAGCAATGAGCTGTTGATGGTCCCATGGCATGGCAATTAAAAACCCATCGTATTCAGCGGAAGCACGAGATAATAGGGAAAGGAGACAACTTCTCATCAGTAAAATCCCATTTATTCATATCAGTGTCAAAAATGTAGAAACCTGCCTGGGTGCAAAACACTATCTTATGACCCCAAACAAAGTGATGATAGATATAATTGCCACCTAATTTAAATTGGGCAGGGTCAGTCCAGGGCGGTCTAGGGAGCTCTTTCCACTGGATCAAAAACCTCGAGAACAGGCTGCTCAAGTGCTTTGTCATAGTTGTAAATTGGTCGTCTAGCCAGAACATAAAATTTATCATTAACACTGACTACAAGAGGATTGAACTTTTGACCACGCATACTAGGTAAATCCTCGCAGATGCGAATTGCATCCAAATTCAAGACAAATGATTTTAAATTAGGAACACAATCAACCTCAGAAGAACTATCATCATCATCTTCGGTGATTTTCTGCTCTTTTTGACCCCCAACTATGTGCAATTTGGAATTCACAGACATACATCCCATTCCAATCGGTAATTCACCATTGGAATTATCACAAACTAGTTCAAACTCAGGCCGAGGTTGGCTCTCGTCTCCTAATTTAGTAACACGCCATACTTGTTCATTCATCTGCACATACAAATAATACACATCATGCCCAATCGACATCTACTTCAAAATCGCACTCAGCGCCGAACCCTAATCTCTCTCCTCACTTTTCTTGGGAAACTGGGTTGCTGTGCTGCTAGCAGAACAACTTTGAAAAAAAAAATATAGAATTATGTTATATATACTAATATACTAACTAATATATTACGCTACTAATTAATATATTACGCGTTTAATTTAAGAAATTTTAAATATTTATAATTTATATAATAAGTAAGTCAGTAATAATAATATATTATTAATTAGGAAAATGATTTAGAGCCCTAAAATATTTCCTCCTAATTCCTCTAATTTCTAATTTGGGCAACTTTTTCCTTTTTTTTTTTTTTTTTTTACTTGATATGGAAATTAGGGGATTAGGGGGGAAAATTTTAGGGGATGTAGCAAGACCCTATTAATTAATATATTAACATATATATTAACTAATATATGTATCACCACTCAATAAAATATATATATATATATATTTTACAAAAATACTATCGAACCTTGAAAACGGTGACGTTTTGGACACTTTTTTCTTTTATTTTTTTTTCTTTTTTGCATGGCAAACCAAATCAAATGAGGCTGATTGTTTGACAGAGTTGGGTTCGCTGACCATCGAGACAGCGTCGGAGTTAGGTAGAGAGGCGATGGCGATGATCTGTTTGACACCAGAATTCTCAACCCTAGTCTTGTCTCCGACATCTGTACTTATGAATTTGTCAAGTGTATAGATTTATGGAAAAATTATACAAGGAAGTGTGTAGACACTTCATTTTTTTTTTACCGCCTTTAAAATTTGGGCGCTTTATTCCGAACATCCGATGATGAAAGTTACACTGCAATCTTTTGAATTCTCAGTGAAGAAATTTGGATTCAAGCTCTAATTCCAAACCTTGCACCCTATTTTGGCCAAACTATTTTAGACCTTAAAACCCTCCTTTCAAAATATTTTTTCAAATATTTCTACGATGTTCCGAGGTTCGCATTTCATTTAAAACATTGTACTTTTCGATAAATCGAGCAAGGATAAAGTCGAAATAAATGAAAGGGAGGTGAAATCTTTGAAAAAATCTTTAAAATATCTTATTTATAGGTTTGGAGTTTGAGGAAATAGGAAGGGAAGGAAGAAAACTAGTTGGGGAAGAAATTTGGCATCAATCTGTTAGGATATAAATGAACAGTCTTTACTAAAATAGGTATATCTCTTTGCATACTTAAAATTTAGATGTGAGGCTATCACCATTGGAAAGTAGACTTCTGGGGCTTCAATTTAGACTCAAGAATCACCTAAAACCGAGTCCGGATGAGGGAGATATGCCCGTTTGAATTCGAGCTTGAAGTGTAGTCTTTTAGACCCAGCCGGGTGTATTTAGAACCGGCCGGGCCTCAATAAAAACTTTTTCTGGGTTGTTTTTTAGGCCCGGCCGTGGGTTTTGAGGCCCAGCCGAGTCTCAATGGCGCCAAACAGACAATTGGCAGGAATTGAACAAATATCTTTGTTTGAAGATATTTATGATCGTTTTGGCTCAAACTCTTTAAATAGAACTTCTTCCTTTAGATTTTAAGGTTAGAAAAACCTTTCAAGAGGCTTATGCATTGATAGAACATCAATTTTCCTTCCAAAGGCTTCCTTGACCTCATATCACCTTTTAGCTATGCATATACAATAAATACACCATTAGAGCTTGTTCTTGGAGTTTTTTGTTGAGATTTCAACCTAAGTTTCACAAACTTAAGGGTGTTTAGGATCAAGTTTGTTTAACTGTAAGCATCCTCTCTTTCAAGAGATATAATTTTTGCATCTTCTTCCTTATTTCTCTTTTACTCTTTTCTTCTCTTTTTCATGCTTTGTACACTATTTTGGGACTGTTTTGTGGGCTGAAACTTGGGGTTAAAGGGCTACCAAAGGTAGAGAGGTTTAATAACCTTTCTTGTACCTTATCCCATAGCTCATACCTCTTGTTTTTCCACTATTTTCTTTGGTTTACATGCTGATTTTCAGAGTTTAAAAAGGCTAAAAAACATGGTTTAAAGGTCTTAAAAGTGGAAGGGTTAGCCATCTCTCTTTGATTTTGTTTACTAGCTTTATATCTCTTACTTTTGCCTATCTTTTTGTACTCTTTAAACACACTTTTAGCCACTATTTTTGGGCTATTTTGGGACTATTCTTGGACTGTTTTGGGGGCTGAAATATGTAATTTAAAATTGCAAAAAGTGAAGGGGTTAGCCACCCCTCCTTGGGCTTTGTTCCATAGCTTTTTCTCTACTCTTTTTACATACTTTCTCTTGCTTTTAGATACTTTTTTTTTTTGCACCTTAGGGGTTGTTCAGAGGCTATTTTAATTCATTTAATTAGTTCATGCTTTAGTTAGTTTGCTTGTTGTATCATAAGCTCTCATATATAGCTTGTTGTATGTTGTTCTTGGCTTTCTTTATTTAACTTCCATGTCAAGAGTCCAATTTTAATAAGAAATCTAGCATTTATTTCTGCAACCTCCCTCTTTTATTCTTTTCTTCTTTTTGTTTAAGAGTTATTTCAACCAATTGAGTTTATTCAAAACATGTAAAAGAGATCTATGCTTAATGGCTTAATCTCTACGGAGATTCATCGTCAACGGCGTAGTCTCACTTTCATGATTAGAAACACATCTCGTTTGACGTTTCTTCTCATTTAGTGGACTTAACAATCATCTTGGACTTAATGGATTAAAGAATGGAGAGGACTAAGAAAATTGGCTTAAAATGAACCAACCAATATAAAGAAAATGAGTCATATTGCTTGGGTTTGATTGGCCGTTATGCCAAGTACATCGTGTCAAGGGTCATCATATGTCAACTCATGATGTTTTGATGAACCTTGAAGCGTCTCTACCTCCCTCTTTGAGTTTACTCTATGATAGAAATGAGAGGTGGTTATTGATTCATTACATTCATTAATTTTTGTCCAAAATCATACCCTAACTCATCAAGCAATCAATTTGCTCATTGATGGTTTTGGAAATGACTTCATCCTTCTTTTAAGGCTTACCATGAGAGAGAAGAGTAGAAGGGACAAACAGAGTTCAGAATAACTCTGTCTGTACTATTTTCACTTCAGAACACAAAAACAGGATTTTGCATAAAATTAAGGCACGGTGGGCCTTCTTTAGGCCCAGTAGTGTGTTTTGTAGAAAACAGAGAGGAGTGACTGAAGGTGAAACAGAGTAGACCTAGGCAGACAGAGCTATTCTTGGACACTATGCATGCAACCTTTGCGCATCCTTACTAACATCATTATTATAAATTAATGCTCCGAGTATTGTTGTAATTAATTCAATTAGTCTTGTTAATAATTAGTGTTTTAATTATTTTTTATTTGTAATTGTTATAGCTAGTTAGCTTAAATATCTAGCTTACTTATCATAGTTATCCTTGTTGTAATAGCCTAGTTAGCTAGTTAATAATTTAATTTATTCATTCAATTTTGTAATAATTAGTTTAATTCGGACTTTCGGACTTTCGGACTTTGATTTGCACCCTCTTGCACGAGGGCAAATGTGTAATAAGTTGTATGCCTTCTAACCCCACGTCTTTCTCCTTTTTAATTATTTGCTTACGATGGTTAGTATAGAACATCATTTTTCAAATTAGCGTTCTTATGATTTGCATCAATTGTCTTGCATGCATCCAAGGTTCGACTCATCACGCTAACCCAATATCAAATGTTCAAATTCATTGCTTGAATACATGCCTTATCGCATACGAGATCATATACCATGCTCATAGCCGAGCCTATAAAATAAATAATGCATGCATGTTGCATTTAGTCATATTGCATTAATTAGGAGCATGCATATATTTTCTAATTATTTTGCTTTGTTTTGGTTCGGAGTACGAGGTGAGTAATTTTGTGTTTTAGCGTTTTGCATTGAATGTTTGTGTTACCATATCAAAGCATACTTTCATGAGGCTAATTGCTTAAATGATATAACTGTTTAAATGCTTGTGGATGAAGGTTAGTTGCTTGAATTGAGATAGTTTGATTAATGTCCATTTTAAGCCCACTTTTTCAAGTGGTAAATTCACAAAACAATTTCAAATAAAACACGAAATCAAATGTTCCAATTCTTGCAAATTAGTCTATATTTGTGTGTGCGTCTCATAGTAAAGAATAACTAATAAATCGGAACAAGAGCATATAATGTAAATAAGAATCACATCATGATTAGTAGAGGCCGATCTTTGATTGGGCGAGTGGAGTGCTCAATTCATGACCTTCTCCTTTCGTACCTAAGTTCCCGAGCTGAGACACTTTGGTGATGACGGACTAATGGCCTTTGGCACGAGTCTTAGGTTTCTTAAATTTCTCAAAAATATT